TTGAAAGTTACGTAAAGTAAACATATGTGGTCGCAAGCACACAAATACATGCTTACGGCAACCATATATGTTTAGTGACTTGACGTAACTTTGAATTTTATGTTTTTACTTTTGATTTCGAAAAGTTTAAAATATTTCAATGTGAAGTTTTATTGAACTATTTTATTCTTTATTATATCTTTGTTTAGTTCTAACTAATTAATTGTCCACAAAATTATCTTATAGGGAAGCCGAAATGATTGCTGAATTACGACGTGAAGCACAAGAACGTGAAACACAACGACGTTTAACTGAACGTTTAGAAAAGGAGCGTTTGGAAAATTTTCGTCGGGAACAAGAACGTCTTGCTATGGAGCGTGAAGAAGCAAGAATGAAAGAACTTCAACGTCAGGTTAATTAAAACTTCGGATTAATTGTTTCGCAAAATTATTTTTATATTTATTTAAATTTAATAAATAAATGCCTGAAAAATCGATATTTCACGTTTATATCACGAAATTTTTATCTTGAGAAGTACTTTATTCTTTTTAGTATTAATTTATTATCTGAATAAAATGAAGTATATTAAGATTATACTTCTAGAAAGTGCATTTTATGTGATATAAGACTTTTGGCGTTTTGAAGAAGATTAATGAAGCATTTTGAAATTTTGATTGTTTTTTTCTAATATTTTATAAAATGAATTTAAAAAATTGGTGATCATAAATTACTTTATTAGGAAGAAGAGCGTCGAGAAAAAGAGTTACTTGAAGCACAAAAACGTGCAGCAGAGAAACGTGAACGAGAACGGCAAGAGGACGAAAGACGAGAACGTGAGCGACAAGAAGAAGAAAGACGGGAAGCATTGAAACGTGAACAGGAGAGACGTGAAGCAATGCGTCGTGAACGTGAACGTCAAATAGAAGAACAAATGGAACTTGAAAAATTAGCTGCTATCAAAAACGCCGCGCAAGAAAGGTATTCATAAATTAATACCAATTAAATAATCATGAATTTTTATTATTTCGTATCGCTTCTTTACCGTGTGATTGATAAAATTTTATATGAAATTAATTTTCTAATAAAAATTCTTTATATTTAGTTTTGTAAATAATTATTTATTCCGGGAAAAAATAATTTATATTTAAATTTTTCTGATATGAAAAAATCCGTGAAATTTTTTATTTGCAGGCAGGCAGCTCGATTAGCTGATATGCAGCGTGATGAACAACGTCAAGTTTTGGAACGTCAAGCTAATGAGTTAGAAGAACGTGAACGGCAAGAAGCAAAACGTAGAGAGTTTGAACGGTTTGTTTTTGAACTCTTGCAGTTTCAACCGAAATAAGATAATGAATTAAAATTAAATGCAAATTGAAATGCAAACGAATCAAAAATATTTGAGAATTTTGGTTTCATAGAACAAAATTATGGCAGAAACTTTGAATTAATAAAATACTATCGAAGATTCTTCTTCAGTATGGAAGAAGAGCGTCGTTTGAAAGAGTTGCGCGAGCAAGAAAGACGTAATGCAGAATTACGTGAACAAGAGCGTCAAGAAGCACTACAACGAGAAGCTCATCGTCGTCGTGAAGATCGTCGTAGCCGGGATAAACTTGATCAAATAGCACGAGAAATTGAAGAGAAAGAAAAAATGGAAATAGAAAAACGCCGATTATTAACACAATTGACAAATCGTGATCGTCGTAAAGATTTGCTCACATCTCGTGAAACGTTAGAAAAATTAACTAAGCCACCGTATTATTCTCGAGAAAATTTAGCTGCAATTTCGTTTGGTTCACGCGAAAATCTAAGCAGTGCTACAGGAAGTGAAGTGACTACGAAGGTTGAACGACAAGTGATCGAACGTATTGATCGCACTGTTTGGTCCGATGATCCTAGGTATATTTTTTGAACATAGTAATTATATAAATTTTTCACTTTTACCTTTGTCCTCCTGACATTCTGAATATTTTTTAAAACTTGAATTTCTCTCAGAGGCAATTAACTGTATATTAGTTCTTACTTTGAATTTCTAAATACAACTGCGAAAATGCCTCTATGAAAATAGTTCTAAATTTCTAGCTATTTGCAAGTTTGAAAAACAAAAAAACCCAGCAAGTAAATCTAAAGATATCAGAAAACGATAGTACTATCCGTTTACTAGTTTAATTTTATGCAAATTTTTCAAAACAGTAAGAAGAAATGATCGCATCTATTCAAAACAACAAGACTTTTAATTACTGCTGAAAATAGTATCAGTCATTTTAAAAATTCTTGAAGCTTATAAAAATTATTGGAAATACTAATACAAACAATATTTTTTAGTGATTCATTACGAATACAACATTAAATTTGAATTTGAAATGTTATATTTTACTCAATTTTTCACCAAAAAAATTGAATATTCCATTACAAATTTCATATTCCCATTGTATTTCAGAAAGTTTCTAAATTCTTCGCAGTATTTATTTCCTTTTTTCCGGCTGTTTATAACAGTGTTGTTACTTTTTACCGATACAACCATTTCGTCCAAATTTACTTTCAAATAACGAAAGAAAACGCTTTCTTCGCTAACTGTTTTCGCCTCATTATTAAAATTTTTAACACATTTGAAACTAAATTTAAAAATTTCTCACGATACCAAAGTATAAAATCGCTTTCATATTTGCTCCCTTGACACTTTCCTTAATCTTTTTAGATTAAACTTGCTTACGAGCCAAAAAGTCTAATCTAAATTAAGTGTCCAACTGATTAAGTGTTAAAGTTTGGTTTCAGTGTTGACGTTTTGATTTATAATTACGCAAAAATAGTTCTTGAAAACACACTTTTCATAAGAGATTTGTGCTAAAATTTACTATTTTTATGATTTTTATCATTAATATAATATAATATAATAGCATAATAATGTTTATTATTCACTTATTGCAATTTTTGGTTTTCGGTTTCTCTCATCACTGCCATATTCATTGCTTTTTTTCAATTTTTTGATCAGTTTAGCTTGCAAAATATAAACAAACATTCGAAAAAACCTTCATTTTTTAATTTTTTAGGACAATTACCAAACTTCTGTATTCAGATATTCACTTCGCCCACCTTTTGGCTATAAAAATTTGGTCATATTTTCATTTCAAAAAATTTTGCACCAAATTTAGAAGTGGTACTTTTCGTATAATTAAATGCTTTGCTGCATACGCTGCTGGTATTTTTCTTGTCAGTATTATATTACTATTCTGAGTGCTAACTGACATTGTGGTGGTATTTTTGAACTGTTTGTAATCAGTCATAGTTAATTTTATCAAATTATACCAACTTTCGGTGTTGATTTATTTGTTTCTACTTCGATTTTAGTATTAATTAATTTACTGAATAAAATATTTGTTTTTTGTTGCAAATAGTTCACTTTGCACAAAAATACCATCACAAATATAGTTTTCATTGATAACAGAGGAATGAATACACATATTTCTAAAATCAGAGGTCAGCGCTCGTCAAAATTAGTAGAAATGCGCATTTCAAACGTTTGACCTTACAAGCCTGCAAGTAAAATTATATAATTAAGTTACATATTAATAAATTCAAGTAAAGCTGCAAAGAACTTGAGAGAATGTTTTGCAAATTTTTTGATAAATTAGCTTTAAATCAAAGCAAATTTCCTCGACACTTTACTCATCATAAAGTTGTATTGAAATTGAAATATTTAGTTTTAGTTGTAAAATTTTTTATTCTTAACTATTTGTCAGTGACAAATAAAGGCGATAGTTCTTAAGCATAATTTATGATTTGTGTTAATTTTGGTAGAAATAAAGTGACATAATAAAAAAGATAACAAAAATGTGACTTTAAAAACTTTTAATTAAGTAAAGTGTCTTTTAATTAATTACAAAAATAAAATTAGAAAAAGAATAGCAAATTAATTGCAAGAATAAAATATTGTGATTGAATAAATAATTTTAAACTCAGAACGTAATTAGACTACATATTTTCTGTAAGAAAATTACTTATGGACGTTTCTTAAAAATAAAAAAAGTAGCGAAAATCTTCTTGTGATTTGAAATTACGTCTTTTATGGATTTATCGAAGTGATCAGAATTATTATTACGCATGGAATTTAATCACATATAGAATTTATTCACTACAAATAATAATTACTGTAAAAAAGTGATCAGAATTATAATTACATATAGAATTAAACTAATAAAGTAATTGCTGGTGAAGGCAACTTTCAGTGATAGTTGTAATGAAAAAATAATGAAATTTCACAGCATAAAAGTACTTAAAATCATTATTTCTCACATGAGAAATAGAAAAAAATTACGAGTCAAGAAACGTGATTGCAGTCTATGAAATTTATAAATATTCCTAATTAAACATCAATTTTTTTCAGTATTTGATGAATTGAATGTTATACGTCTGATACTTTTTAATAATAATGCCATTTTATGACAAACCTTCAGAATTACAACAAACGATATGACAGATACGCCAGAATTGAATGCTCTCACGCGTGAACGTTTATATAGTCGACGTTCCGCTGATGAAGATGATTTTAGTCGGTCATCAAGTCGTCGTGCAAGTCGATACCGATCGAAACTTGAAAAAGCAAGAAAAGATTTTCTTTCTTCTGATGCTAGCAACTCTATCGGTTTGTAATTCCTCTATAATTTAATAGCAAAGCAATCTAATTTTTAATTTGTGTAAAATATGCTTAATGCCTTCAACTTAAGGAAAAATAATTAGAATGTTAATTAAGTATGAAATCAATTATGCAAAATATAAATAAAATATTCATATTTTATTTATATTTTGCATAATTGATTATTTGATACTTAATTAACATTCTAATTATTTTTCTGATTATTGTAGCCAATTTCCCATCGACACTAGCATATTGATGAAAATACTTACACTGCTAACAATTGATTCATGAAAGTCAGTATGCTAAATTCTGACGCAGTAAAAATGAGTTATTTTTAAATTTACAACAATTAAGTTTAAATTCAAATTCAAATTATTTATTAGATACAATTAGCAAACGCTTTCGACAAACATCTGAAGATATTTCGCGTTCTCGACCGGATTATCGAGCAGGATTTTCACAAAAATTTCAAACTGGCGGTGAAGTCATTAATTCAAGACCTGATTTGAATCAGTTACCATATAATAGTATAGGTCCAAGTCCATATGATCAGGTATTTCTATGAAATGTAGCATTTTTTAATTATTTTATGTATTTAATAAGTTATGCATTTTCAGAAATGAAATCATCAAAATCATACAAGAATGAAACGAGTAGAATATTACAAAAGTCATTATATTTCTGCGAAGTTCATAAGTATCAGAATTATATCATATTTCAAGGAAATATTAATATTTATTTGATCATATCATTTTCAAAACTAAAGAATTAAGTTATACTGATACACTTAAATACGTTAAGTTTATCTATCGCAACCGCTTCTTTTTTTTAAATACTTCAAATCTGCTTCAATATACCTCCTTCCCTTGTGCTTCTTTTTATGATTTTGATAAGAGTGATAAGAGAAAACTATAATTCAACATAGTTATTAAATTATTAAATAAGCTAACCCTTAATTATTAGCTTTAATGCTTAATTATGAGTGATATTTAAATTTTGGAAAATTACTTCTTCAAGCTAGACTCAAATAGCAGGAATACAATCGTTTATTTCAACGAGCTGAGCGTTACTGGATGCCTTATAAGCAACGTTTTTCGCAGCCTAATTTGTACAGCCGAGCACGTGGTTATTCCACGTCATATTTGGAAACAAATCTTGACACTGGAGTTGCTGATATTGTTTCCACGCAGCGACAGGTTTTCTCCCCTATCATATATGTTTCCTCAGCAAATTTGCTGCTTGCTATCATTTTATAAGCTAACTAATAAACTTATTGAATTACATACATTCATTGTATTTTATGCAAATTATCAGTAAGTTTTATTAGCTCTTTTAAGTTTTAACTTAATAATTATCTTTTTTAAGATATCCTCTTGTTTTCAAGTTATCATTCGCATGCGTTAAACTTGTCCAATGAAATATAATGTTTCGCATGTTTCCGTGTTAGCGCTTAAAAGCTTTTTCGAATGAACAATAAACAAATAGCATTTTTGTGCTGCTTAAATCTTTCACTAATCGTTTCAGCAAGCTTAAGCTAAATTTTTGCTGGATGCTTTTTGTGATGCTTGAAAGTTGTCTAACTTTGTAAAATGCTCTCTGATATATTAATCCCTTCTTACCTCTGAAAAATGGAATGCTGAAGAAACAATCGTCATTCACACCAGCATTCATGTTAAAACTGCCACAGAAACAAATCACTTTCTAACTTTCGTTAAAATTCGTCTCATTCAGTGACAGTGATATGAAATTTCATTCATTATCATTAAGAAGCATTTGTATAAAGCTGTTTTTATCCAGTGATATTATTAAATATAGAATTGTATTACTGTCAATGACTATATTCTGCACTAAATTAACTTTTATAATGTTTTTAAGCTTCTTTAATATATATTTTCAATTAAATTTTTTTCATATTTTCGAATTTTTTCTGACTTTTTTCGAAGTAATTAGATGTCTAATTCATGGAAATTTATATTTTCTTCGCAATTTATGTTTAGCGATTATGGAATCTGATAACTCTTATATTTCTTGCAGCTTTTTCGTTTTAATACAAACGAGTTATAATTTTGCTTTAATAACTTTTCAGTGCGAAACGATATATTCTACTAAAATTATTGTCACAAAGTTTAATAAGATTGAGCTTAATTAATTTTTGCAATATGTTCCTTTATTAAATGTTTAGGTAGAAGAAACAAATTTGGATGATGTGCATCGTTCTGGATCCGTAATTGACTGCAGTCGCTACAGTCGACATGATGTGCCAGAAAGTATAGGAACCCACGTACGGTCCAAAAGTGCTGATTACTTAATGGATAGAAAGTACTGTATTTTTGAAGTTGAAATTTAGTTTCATAAGGACTTTGAGTTAAGTATCAGTTTCAGTAAAATCATTTTAAATGATTGTTAAGTAATCACTTTAATTCTTCTACAAAATTATTATAATAATATAAGCATCCGAAACAAGAATAATTCGGTAAAGTTTAGAAATATGAGCAAAACTTCACTTGCTATTGAGTAAAATACATATTTATAAAAATCTTTTTCAGAATGCGTGAAGAATCAGCACCACCAGAAAATGAGCTCCAAAAATTCGGTGAAAAGACTCCGAACATTTCTGAACATGAATTACGTTTCCGTAAATCCACAGAAAAATTACAAGTACCTGACTGGTATCGTGAACGAAATATGCGGTCTAATATTAATCGTGATACTTCATATACATTTGATCGTCAAGAATCTTCGTCTTACAACCAACAATCAGCATATAGTCATGGTTATAATGCTAATATAGTGTCTCAACCATTCACATATAATACCACTTCACATACAACAAACGATGCACCTTTGCGGCAAACATATGAAGAAGCCCCACTAGGAGGCATTTCCCTATCGTATGGTCAATCCTCACAATTATTACACAATAATTCTCGAATACGAAACCATTATGAATCACATCAAACAAGGTATACTACGCCATTTACATACGAGCAAGATAGATATGGTACTCCGACCCCAACAGGTGCTACCGCAGTACTGTCATCAACTAAAGATGCAACTTTAGTTGTACCTTATGGTATGTTTGATAAATACAAAGATGAAATTGAAGAAATGCGGAGAAGCCGTACATCTCTTCATCAAGTTGGTACGAACACTGATAAACGAAAGGTTTGCATTGTATAAAATCAAAGTTTCCAATTTTTTCAATTGATATTTCCATAAATACTTTTATTTCTGCATTTTCATTCGGAAAATCCTAGTTTAAAACTTTCAAAATTTATGCATATTGTGAAAATCAAAATTTATGCATAAATTTTGAAAAAAAAGTACTATTTAATAAATCAAAAAAGTTCGTGGGGGTGAGGCTATGCATGCACAATTATTTTGGAAAATATTTAAAAAATATTAATTTAGCTTGCTCATTATTCTTTCATAAAGCTGATCACTTAATGAGAAGTGTCAATAATTTTAAGAACTTAAATACTACTTCTGTATAGGCTTACAGCGAAAAGTATTAAGTACTAAAATTGAATTTTTGATGCAAAAATGAAGTTTATTTTCCGTATGTGTCTAATAATTTGTTACCTTTTCACTAGAATTATGGTTTTCTACCCTTGTTTGTGCATTTTTCAAATCTTTCCTTTTTAGAACTGTTTATTTTGAGTGTATTTCGTCGACTGCCTTATCGTTTTGTGCGTGAAGTTTTGTCATTATCGCTGAATCTTTCTGTTAAATTAGTGCTTTGAATGCTTTTTTTATTATTTTCTCAAAATAATTTCGAAAGGAGTCAAATTTCACGCATATTTGCATATCATCGCAATTACGACTAGTCGCAGTGGCGATAATATGCAAATTACTAGTCGTAATTTTTATACTTTGATAACAGCGATTAACATTCTATTATTGCATTTTTTTTAATTGTAAATCTTTTTGTCATATCATTCATTTACATAATCACAGATCTTTACATAAATTATTTGTTTTTCTTGTTACTTAATCATTTAATCATGTAACTTTCATACTATAATCTCATTTTTCTTCATATATTAAATTTTTTTACGTATCACGTAACTGTTTTACGCAAATAAAAATATTCATATACATTTCTGCCAGTCTTTGCTCTTTCAATGTAATCTCAAATCAGCATATTGAACAATTTTTCACGTAATAAATTTTTGACCCATTTTTGAATTTCTCTGAATGACTAATCTTTCTGATTTATTTATCCATCCTTACGTATATATTAGACACCTTTTTATTTAGACTATTATTTTGACGTTTTCATTCATATTCACTCTTACCTTGGTTCTAATTTGTCTTGCTTATCAGCACTATAAATTATTTTCAACAAAATGTATATCAGAAATCATTTGTGAATTACTGACAATTAGTCACTTTTTTGAGTTTTAATTTTTCTGTTTTAATATCAATTTTTAAGCTGTTATTCAGATTGCATTTATTACTTTTTCCGCTAATTAATTAATATTTTGAAAATTTTATTCAAGTTATACGCGCCTTTTGCATTTATTCTGTCTGATAAATTTATGCAAATGAATTCAATTTTCTCAGAAATTCCGATAGTATACAAATTTTGTTTGTTATTAATGGCGTACAAACTTTTATTTTCAATTATTTCGTTTGGTCGTTTGAAATAATTAGTTATTTCGCGAGCTACAAAATATCATAATATCCATAATGCGCTGACTACTTCACAATCACAAAATGCATCATTTTTGTGCTTTAAATCTAATCGCCTTGTCTTCATCACTTTTTCATACATTTGCATTGTTCAGTTTTTGTCAAATATTGTGGAGTATTTAATACTGAAATTTGGATTGAACTGAAACGAAATTCCTTTGTTACAATTGTAATTTTTTCACATTTTAGGTATTTTATTCACAATTTCGCAGCGTGAAGACATTCTCATGTAAAGTTCATAGTTCACTGCATCATTTTCAATATTTTATTTATGCATTTCAGTTATAAAATTATAGATCAAATATGTTGACGTATCTGCTAAACGTGCAATGAATTGGGACCACGTTCACGTGTGTTAACACTTTGAGATTTGTTCCGTATTTTGCAGAGAATAGTTTTGCTTTCTGTTAATTGCGGTTTTCCCGTATTTTCATACTGTGTGAATGTAAATTTCACATTCTTTACTTGTTTGAAATAAAGTATTTTTATTCACTCGAATGATAGTTTTACCCTATGCTTATTTGGGCTTAACTTGCATGCTTTGCTTGGAGTGATTTTCGTTCTGATTAAAAAATAAAATACTTGATGAATGATGCTAAAATATTTAGTAAAAATTAGCAGCCTTAAAAACTATAAATAAAGTTTTAGAAGAACTATCAGCAGTATAAATATTTGTTAAAAATAAACACAAGAGCAATTTATTTTCATTGCTAAACTTAGCTGAAAAATAGCAATTATTCTAAATCAGAATTAAAATTAACATAACTAATTATGTAAAAATTACTGTAATTAGAAATTGTTTGAATTCAATGTAGAGCGAGAATTAGCATAATTTCTTAGAAATATACAGATAATTTTAGTGTTTGCGTATGGTTTCCCTACATGCAAAGCTATCCCAAGACAAAAAAAATTAATATTGTAAAGTGCCTTCTAGTAAAACTTGAAAATGCGTGAAAAGTAAACGGAATTAAGTTACAACAAGAAAATTTGACACGTTTCGATTAAAATTTTATTCAAAATGCATCCAGTAATGATGGTTAAAAGTAAAAATATTAATTGGTCAGTGCAGTAAATAATTATTTAGAATTCACAGCAACAAAAAGGATAATTGCAAGTAATAAAGCGTAATCTGACTAAAAATTAAGCCATAAATACTAAAATGATATCGTATGGATTTCCTTATTTTTACTCTTAAATTCTCCCCAACATATTTAAACACATATTTGTTGATAATAAATATTTGAATGTGGAGAGAAAAAATCAAATTTATCGAAGACTGCTTCACCACTAACGTTTTACAAGGCAAAAAGTTATTCGTAAACAAAATACTTGAAAATAATTGAATGAATTTAATAATTCAGAATTGATAAAGGTATTTGTAACTTTTTTAATGCAAAAACAATTGAAGTATGATTGGAAGCTTTGATATCTTTAGGTAGAAGATGCTGACACTTGTCAAGATGAGCAAGATTCTACTCAGACGGTTTGCTTTAAATGTTTTCATAATTTTCTGAGTATGCAAATTTTTATACACCTCAAAAAGTTTAAAAATATGCATGTTCAAAAATTATAATTTACTAATTGATAGCATTTATGCGTGCTACTTTCATTTGTTTGAAGTTTAAAAATGACTTAAGTTTTGATCTAATTAACTTTTATTTCTACTAAAATTAATTCTGCAAATAAAATCAAAACTATTACAAATAAAATCAAACTATAGGCTTCGGAATATGCCGATAAGAGCTCAACAGTTAAACAGTTACCTGGCTACACAGTTACTCCTGTACCTACAAACTGGAATATACCTAAAGATAGGTGTGCTAATACTTACTTTTTTTTACTACATTAATGTATAAATAAAATTAATTCATCATTAATTGATATAATTTGTAATTAAGGCATTCGAGAGTGGTTGAAGTTACAGATACCTTTATTGACTCAAAAGTAAATTCTTCTCAAAACGGTAAGCAATTTTATGGAACAAGAAGATTGCTATTAATAAGACGAAAAAATTTTTTCAGCTCGAAAAGTAATGATTATAAATTCATCTTTTTCAAGAAAAAAGTGTGTATTTTCAAGGTATTAGTTGCGATACTAACAATGAGGATTCGAAAATATCGGAAATAAACTAAAAATTAATTTTAATTCGAATTTTATTCTTGCTAAAATCTACCAGATAATCAACGCTTTGATGGTCGTGTGACAATTGAAGAAGTAATGGATGCAATATTCCAACGTACCAAACCTTCAAAATCATCACCATTTCATGACAAAAAGTTAGTTATCAAATTCTGATGAACTTAAATTACATTTTCGAAAAACAATAAGATATCTAATTAAAGTGCTGCTAGACAAAAAATATAAAACAAAATTATCAAATTGGTTGTACAAAATTTATTTAGCCATCTAATTTAATTCAGGCTCATTTTATTCATTGAAATTATTTATGCAATTTAGAATTTTATTATCCGCTCAGTTTATCACTGCAATTCTAACTGTTCTTTTTTCAACATTTCTGACTTAATGAGACTTAATTTTTCACTTTACATCCATTTAATCGCTTAATTTTCTTGATATTTTTGCTTAATGTTATTTAAAAAAGTTCATGAAATTTTGTGCTTAGCAATTTAGCAGCTTCACTTAAATTATTTACTTTTGCAGTGCATGGAATACATTATAACAAATAAGGAAACTTTTAAAAAAATATAGATTATAGCTCTATTTCTTGCTAATTCACCTAAATTACTGAATTTTCTATAAAAATCTTAAAGTAGTTTAGTTCTACTGAACGAGACTCATTGGAAAGTGAGCAAGTTCGTAAATCAGGGATTTACGTTAGAAGCAGCGAATTAATGCAACAACTCATGCGAGATCCAAGTAAAGCTGAAGTATTACTTCAGGTATATTTATTTCCAGAATCATCTGAAGTTGTACTTAAAAAAATGCTTTTCGAACTGATATTTATTTGTATTTACCAACTTTTTTATACGTATATTACGTGGATGAAAGATGAAAAAGATTTAAATATCTGTGATACTGAATATGCTGGATAATTTTATCAAATTACTCACTCACCTTGATATTCCGAATTATTTACAAAAATCATTTCAGTACAATCTGAATAAGTTATCTTATGTCGCAGACATTTTATTATTTCCAGTAATGAAACAAACAGAGTAAATAATAATATGCAAATAATAAGTGAAAAGTCATAAGTAAAGGAAATGTTTGAATACAAAACTAAAAGATAAGTATGAAATTGATTTTATTCGAACTTAGTAATTACATATAAATGTATTATGTCGTTTTTTCAAATATCTCCAAGTCAGAATTTTCATGCAAATTAAAAATGTGCTGAAACCAAAAAAGTTCAATTTATATCTAATTTTCACTTTACTATATTATTCATAATTGAAGTTCTGTGAATATAAATATTTCTTCAAAATTTAAATTAAGTAATTCGATTTATATTCGTTAAGAAACACGAAATTCATGGCTTTACTTACAGTTATCAAATTTAGAATGAACGTTTGTACATACGCTGTACAAATTGTTGTCGCGCAAAAGAATTATCAGAAGCTCGAATACAGTATATCTCTTGCAAACATTGCTATACCTATTATTGTTCTCGAGAGTGTCGAGAAGATGATTGGTCAAAACATCGTGAAATTTGTTCTTTTTCAAGAATTAATACTTTATGTAAGGAAGTAATCATAAAGGTAAGTAACACCTCAAAAAGTAAATAGTCCTTTGTAATAGTTCTTAAAAAAATAACTACTGAATTGTGTTTTATTATGGAATAGCAAAGCTTTGTAATAGGTTCGAAAAGATCCAGAAGCCCAGTCTTGCATGTCAAAGATTGCACGTGAAGGCTATTCAACTCTCGGACGTGGTTCCGTGAATCTTAGAATTGATTCCGCGCAAACTGCTCAATGCTATGTCACAGAAGGCTGGCAAACCTTTGCTAATTACGAATTAAACAAACTGCTTCATTACTATACCATTGCGGCACTAATCGCAGAAAAAAAAGAGCCATCGCTGATTACATTATGTCGCCAATACAATCCAAAGTTTGTTTTTATCATCTCTTAACTTAATTAATCTATTTTAAAATTACTTTCCATCTTTACCAAAATAGTTTGTTATTATTATTTTCATACACTTAATAAAAATAAATAATTTATATATAAATGAAGGGTAAGTTTCATTTTGTATACTAAACAATAATTTGTAATATTCAATCTCTCTTGTGGATACTGTTTTCACACAATAGTCTCTTAGCATAATAAAATAAACTGTTAGTTATTAATATTTTTGTAAAAAATAGCACAAAATTTCGTATTGTAATATCAATGATACCATAAGCAAAAACGAAAATTATCAATTATTGCTTAAGTGCTAAAGAAATTAACTTAAGGAAACATTTGTTTAAGCAATGAGATAAACCCTTCCCTTATATGGAAATTTATGGAAATTTTTCTAATTTTTTCGCAGTGTGACTTTTAGTCCTTTATGATTTTGCCTTAAGGCTTGAAGCTTTATCATAAATTTTTTACGAAAAACTCAATTTTGCCAAAAGCATTTTTTATGCAATACAAATGCAAATATCTCTGTGCTTTCTTCTCTGACTAAAATGTTATTTCAAGTTAGTTATCGCAGTTTTATCTTAACAATTCTAATTATCATACTCTCATCATTAATATTGCTGTTGTGCTAATGCATGCTACTTTTCTAGCTAAAAGTTTCGCGAAACAAAAACATAAATAATAATAATAGCATAATAATAGCTCTCCACATATGCTTAGACATATCATCAGCATATTTGGAGTTCAATGATGTTAGCTTTGTCTTGGCAATGCTCTTGTTACTAATTATTTTATCATTATTATTATTATTATTATTATTATTATTATTATTATCATTACTTAGTATCGTTAGATACTATAATCAATCATTATTAATATTTTATTCATAAGTTTCAATGTAATTTTTTCTCATTGCAGTGAAAAATTCATCTTAAGTGTTAGTATCATAGCGGATATTGAACAGTGCCCTCATACGCCACCACCAGAACCCGTAATCATAGGGCATACGCAGACAGTACCATTAAATCATCAACGCTCAATACCATCGCTTCCCGTACCTCCACTTGTTCCGGGAGAGCAATCTCTCATATCTACCGATGAATTTCGCTCTGCAGTGCCTACTAAAGTATGAAACTACATTCGAATGAATTTAAAAGTAAGATTTGTACAAAATAACAAAATACAATGAAAGGCCTTTCAAGCAATCAAATGTTCACAAGCCTGAAAAAAATGAAAAATGTTATAAGTCAAGGCGATCTCACTACAATGCACTCACTTATTCATATTTCTGCTTAGCTTTTCGCAACTTTATATCAGTTTTTTACAATAAGTGCTCATCTATCAACTGTGATTTGTCTCTAATATTAAAATTTCCTTATTTTGATTCAGCAAATAAATATTATATTCAGCAATCCAATTTCTGCTTTTTCGTTATTATATTATAACCCGCGAGACTTTCTATTATTTACAGTGTTCTCTCCGTTTAACATACTTCTATTACCATTAATAATTTGAATGTTTTATCAATGGATGAACTCTTCACTGCTCACTTTAAGGTAACAGTAAACATCTACATTTTTTATTTTTCAAATTAATTAAATCAAAACACTAATAATAATAGTTGTAAATACGTTTTTGAATGATACTGATGAAGAATATAATAGTACTAAAATAATAATATTACTAATGAAGAATATTCTATATATACCCATGAAAATTTATCCTTCAAGTTGTAAACAGCATTACAAATAAATCAAAAGATGCGAACTTATCTCAGTTGTGAAAGAAAAATTTGACCTTCAGATGTAATTTGATTGTTCTAGCATTATTTCTGAAATGAACTGCAACTATACTTTATTTCAAAAATCATGAAAAAACACAATAATCTCCCATTTCTTATCATTTTTTGCAATCACTTTTTCTGATATAAACATGGATTCATGACTGATAACATAAATAAACACCATTACGATATTGCAATAGTAATATTAGTAATAACCAGTATGAAAATGAAGTTGACCTTTGTCACAAATGCACCATAAATGATACAATCTATTGCTTAAACTGATAAATTCTGTTTCCATTCTATTACATTCATCAAAGTTTGATCAAAAATATGAACATTTTGGAGACAGAAAGGATAAACAAATGCCTTCAAAATTAATAAAATCAAAAACTTAGTAATACTGAACACTTTCCCATTTATTTCACTCAAATTAATAGAATAAAAATAAATTTTTTTAAAGACAAAACTTTTTCAACAAGTAATTATTTATCAACAGTTATGCAGTATCATAATCCTCGTCGTCCTCATCTTTAGACAACAAATCACTTAACGATCGTCTTGTACACGCACTATTTTCTTGCTGAAGGCGACTCATTTCTGCTGCTTCTGCTTCAAGCTGTTTTTGCCGTGCCTACAACAACATAAGCAGAAGTAATACAATAACCAACGAGAATAATAACAAAAATAAATTGCATTATGACAAAGTCTAACAAATCTTAAGATAAAGAAACATCATTCAGTCCATCTATTCAAAATTTGTCTTCCTTCATCTCATAAAAATAAGTCAATTCTTCACAGATACGTTCAACAAATCAAGTACTAATAAAAAAATAACCTAATTCTGATTATTTAAAGATTTATTTGATTCTGAAACACTACTTGCTGAAATTTATAAACAATAAATTGCGCGATTTTTGATTTGTTCCAACTTGGAAATATTCACTAATATACTTTATTAAACTTTTAGTAAAAATTTTTCTAATTCAAGCAAAAAATTTGCATACTTTTTCGATTAACTGTTGCTGCATCAAATACAACTGGTCTTCTGGAATACCACATTTGTCTAAGCGTGAATTTTTGCGTTTCAATCTATTTTCTGCAGCTATCTTACATTCACTCAATACGCTGTCTGCAGCTTCAACGTAATCGCAAGGAAAAGCCAAATTCATTAAAGCTTAAATAAAAAATATCTTTAATTAATTCTTAATTTATATAAACAATTACAGCCGAAGTCGTAAAACAGAAAAATAGCTATTCTCATTCATAAAATGTATATTAACAAGCAATCCATTAATGTGAATATTCAGTAATAATTTTAATGAAGTAAATAAATTAAAGGCATGCATATAAAGACAATAAAAATATGCAATCGCACTTTGTTCCAAAATTCGATGGCTTGAAGAGGAAAGTTTTCAGTGCAATAGGAAGAAAACCTTACGCTACGTCATAGCTATGACAAATTACATATTTTATCCACCTCACTCCATCAAAGCATGACTTCAACTACACTCCACTATAGTGATGGATAAATAATTTCGTGCTAAATGATTGTGAATTTTTGATACGCAATGATTTTTTCCCGATCATTTTCTTCAACTATGATTTGATCATTCTTTCATTTTCTGATAACTGATTTCTATTTCTATTACCTTAAAGATTAAGTTATTAAGTTCTAAAAAAAGCAAAAGGCAACGGATGGAATAAAAATGAAACAGAAAGAAAAAGATATAATAAACTTTTACAATTTCAGTACTAATCTACAATAATAAAGACAAGAAAGTGAGATTTTGTGTTTGCAAATAAATTTTGACTGTAAAAATTAACTATCTTTGCCATTAAGCCTACTGAATCTACAATCAAAATATAATTTACTGCATTTCCAGTCTTTTTAAGTCATTAGTTCTTTATTGATTTTCATCAGTTTTACCTAAATACAGCATCAGTTACTATTACACATGAAATATTGGAGACTAAAATCTTCAAAAATTCGATGTATACATCAGAATATTGATGTTCATAACTTTTATCACAACTTATAGAGGTTAGTAGTTTAGAAATTTCATACACAAATTATGAAAAAATTAACTGTGAACTTGATCAACATGCTTCTATCACACAAAACATAACTCAAACAGTTTCACACGGTTAACATCTCAAATTCAGAATCAGAAATATCAGTCATGACTGAAATAAGTTTATTTCAAATTCACTCAAATGCTTAGACTAGAAACTGTCTAAGCTTTATCTGCATTTTCGTTGGATATTCCATTCTTTCCGAACTATCAGCAAAGTAAAATACAATAAAGTTTCATATTTTTATTTATCCTTCATTACTTCTATCTCAATTTGATACTTTTTTGCTATATTTGTTGTCATCTTTAGATTTACTTAAAAAAAATGCAAAATTTTTGCTTAGTTAAAAATGGAAATTAATTAGCACATATCAAGAATTCAGATTTACACTCCTTCAGCTATAACTTACTTTATTAAATTTTATAATCAATATTTAAAAAGTACTACATACCTTTAATATAGTTTTAAATCAGCAGCTCTACCTCACTTACATGATAATAAAAGATTTTTTTCTGGTAATGAGACGAAAATAAAAACATTTTCTGCTTCAGTGAATTTTATTTTGATAAAAACTGCAAGGGTACCATTCAAATTCATCAACAATCATTTTCATTGAAAATTACGAACATTTCTCTTTTGCCTTTTAACATTACTGACGATTTGTTGATTCTTTGCTTATACTTCTTGTTTTCATGTGGATTCTCTCAACTCTCAAAACTATACTTATCAACAGACTCTTTGTTTAATTTCTTTTTCATTAATTCATAGCAAACAAGTTAGCATTCCAATTTTCACAACCTTTTCTCCATTAGCTGCTAATTTTCCTTTTTTAAACACGGAAGTAATATGATTCTGATATACCTTTTTGTACATGCTCATGATAGATTGTTTTTCGTTGATCACCAGCAGAAATA